GTAGAACCGCATAGTTCCTGGCCTAGTGAAACAACAAAAATGTACCTGGCACTATTCTGTGTTAAGTAGCTAGCACTTTTTCTGGTATTCAATAACACAAATCTTTATAATTGTAATAAAAAAAGGTACACATATGAATGAGTGAAGTTATTAAATCTTTATAATTAAATCTTTAATTACAATGATATGAGATACACATAAGAATGCGCAAAGTTATTAAATATTTATAATTAAATCTTTATAGTTACAATAGGACACGACACACATAGGAATGAGTAAAGTTATTAAATCTTTGTAATTACAATAAGATAAGATACACATAAGAATGAGTCAAAAGTAATTTTTACGAGATAATATAAAGTAAGAATCCTTAATTCAGAATGCATATTATACACTAATTCTTGAAATAAAATTAGTTTGGAAATCAAACATACGCTCAGTACACTGAAAATATAGACTAATCCAAACTGTGCTAGAACCAAAGTGAATAGAAATTATATGTTATAAAATTATTTAAAGCAGTTTAAAGAGACTTGGAACTAAAATATAAATATATCCTTATTACTCAACTAGAAAGATGCATGCATATTTTAAAGCAGAGCTTTTCAGTAAATACATGGCAGAGCTGAATACAACAGCAAACCTTCGCCAACTTGTATTCAAATGCAAACAGTCTAGAAACGATAACATTAGTTCACCAACTTTGATGTTTTTAGAAGTGAAAATATTTAACAAATATGTGTTAAAAGGCGTGATCATAGTGTAAGCCTTTCCCATTTTAAGAGTTTTGTATTAATTTACAAAGGTGTAATCACACAAAAAATGAATAAAGATAGATAATGAAATTTGAATCACTGAATAAATATAATAATAAAAAAATAACTAGAGCCTTGCGAAGTACACAAAAACTGAAAACCGATTGGTCAAATACTTTAGCTTATCCTCTGATTTTAGATTTTTTCCAATCCGTTTATCTATCTTTTTGTTACGCATAAAAAGCAGAATATATTTTGCACATATGGTACGTATCAACAAAAAATCATTTTATAGCGATGTTCTAACGCCGTGACGATCTTAGTTCGAGAAAAATCTATAGAACGACGCATTTTGCTGTAAATGAATTCTCGCGAAATTGTTCTCGCTCTAAGTTTTGGTAGTCCCGCAGTGGACTAATCGTTAAGACACGGCTCCCAGCAGATCACCGAAGTCAAGCATCACTGGCTGCTGTCAGTGTGCGGGTGGGTGACCACTTGAATCAGAGGGCGTAGGGACCGAGGGTGTGCGGTATTGGTCCTCGTTAAACTGTTCTATCGTAAAGTGCTCGACTTCGCGTGCAGGTTGGGCTACCGAAGCAGGGGTGCCACCCCTCTGCAGAGGATCAAAATTGCGATGGCTTGTCTTCGGATCATCCTCAGGGATGTTTCCCAGACCGTCGCCAATAAGCCCATTGTGCAACTCTAGTGCGACGTAAAGTAACTACAACAAAGTTTTGGTAGCAGTGTTGTTGTTGTTGTAGTTCATTTACGTTGCACTAGAGCTGCACAATGGGCTATTGGCGACAGTCCGGGACACATCCCTGAGGATGATCCGAAGACATGCCAATTTCTATCTTCAGCAGAGGGGGTGGCACCCTCGCTTTGGTAGCCCGACGACCTGCACGCGAATTCGAGCACTTTACGGTAGAACAGTTTAAAGAGGATCAATACCGCACACCCTCGGTCCCTACGCAGACAGATTCAAGTTTTCACCCACCCGCACACCGACCGCAGCCAGTGATGCTTGACTTCGGTGATCTGCTGGGAACCNAGAACAGTTTAAAGAGGATCAATACCGCACACCCTCGGTCCCTACGCAGACTGATCCAAGTGGTGACCTACCCGCACACTGACCGCAGCCAGTGATGCTTGACTTCGGTGATCTGCTGGGAACCGTGCCTTAACGATCAGTCAATTTAGTTCATTTTAATGTTTATTTCTTAATTATTATATTTATCTTTTAATTTATTATTTTCCTTGATTTATTTTTCATACATATATTGGCTTGCGTGCTCATTACCAAGACCGGCTTATAATCCCTTGTCAAGTTACCGAAGAACATCATTAAGTTACACTCAGTTCTACCCGCTAATCCTTGTGATATTCTTCGAGCCCATTACTTCTACGCTACATGGCATTTGGCGGAACAGTACTTCATCCCAGTTACGGTAATCCGGCCAGGGTGGACCCACTGTTTAGCATATTTTCACTGATTTTCAATAGTTGATTTCTGTGAAACTCATTATTCTCCAATTACAACTAAATACTTAAGGCACTGTATTGATACAAAGAGGGTCGTATATTCGAGTCCCAATGTCACTAATGAACCTCATATTAGCATTTTAAAGCAAATAACAAATTGGTTATAATTTGAATTTCTTTTTTAGTCCTAGATTGCGACGAACTTCTTGATCTCTTAACTTGTATACTGTGTCAACGAAAAGGCATTCCGCTTTGACAGTATTTAATTGCAAAATTAATCTTTTATTTAATTGTTACAAACACATATACAGGTCTGTGTACTCATTGCAAAGCTCGACTTGTAAGGCCGTGTCAAGTTGAAGAGTAGATAGCATAGGCAAGAGAAAAGCACGACAAAGTACGGCAATATTTGAACCCGCTACCTCTACATTATAGAGCTCAAGTTAGAACAACAAGATCGCACGACCAGGAAGATCCCTTTTTTGACATTTACAAGTCAGATCTTTGATCGAACAAAAGTTTGAATCCATTATTTCCCAATCTCAACTATTTGTGCTACTTAAAAATTTATTAATGCAAAACTTTATTTAATTAATAACTGGTAAGTAGTTTATTTACGTCTCACTAAAGCTGCACAATTAGCTACTGGAAACGGTCTGGGAAACATCCCTGAGGATGATTCGAGGACATGTCATCACAATTTTGATTCTCTGCAGAGGGGATCTCATTTGTGTGGCCATTTCCTTAATTTCGACATAGATTTGGAGGGGAAGGAAATTTTCTCCAGATCCCTGTACCCACGGTACTGCTAAATGACCGATCACCGGAATTTCGATGCCATAGATTTTTATGAGCACGTATATCACATGTACTCGGTGGGTTTCAGCGGAGTCGAGGATCGAACTCTGGACCCTCCGGATCGGAGTCCGATTCACTGAGCTTTTACGGCCCAACTAATAACTAGAGTAGACAAAGGAATAAGATAGAGAACTTTTTTAAAAAAAAATTTTTAACGGCAGGTATTGAACTTTCGTTCTTGACCTAGAAAGATGCCGGAAGTATTACTTATTTAACCCTTTCGTGAAGGGAAGCACAAACGCGCGTATCGTTGAGGCCCGCAGTCTCGCTCGCGAGTGTCTGTCCTGGGCCGGAGGGTTTTTTGCTGTTAAGCCTAAATCCATGAAACTACCGAAATATCAACGCGTTGTTTAATAATATTCTGTAGAGTATTTATATGGCATATGCTTTAAATATATTTCTATAGATACTTTATTTACTTAAGTTATTTCTTGCTTAAATGTATATTTTACACATTTTATTTTCATTGTGTACTTACCATTTAATAACTTTTAACATTATATATCTGAAAACTAAATATGACTTAAAATTCTTTTTTCGTATGAACAATTTGAAAACACTAATATTGCACTAAAAACTGGACCGCAAATCGAAATACCCAATGCTGTAGCGAAAAAAAAACAACCTCCCCTGCTTACTGCAAACAAATACCTCGTGCGAATTTAAAGGGCCGTCATAAAACATTTTTTTTTCTGCTCCATTCCTTCCGCCTAAAAACCACGTGTATGTGAGTCATACTACTCTCATTTTAAGTAGAAGGTCAAATCTGCACGTATCTGAAACCATATGGACATACAATGCCATCTTCTGGCAGAAATTGTATTTTTTAAAACGTTCCAAGACACTGGCACAAATTAGTGACGGCCGGGGATGAACGAGAAAATGCTCTGGCACACCGGTGTGTCTGCCGGGAAGTGNTATTACTTATTTAACCCTTTCGTGAAGGGAAGCACAAACGCGCTTTTCGTTGAGGCCGGCAGTCTCTCTCGCGAGTGTCTGTCCTGGGCCGGAGGTTTTTTTGCTGTTAAGCCTAAGTCCATGAAACTACCGAAATATCAACGCTTTGTTTAATAATATTCTGTAGAGTATTTAAATGACATATGCTTTATATTTCTATAGATACTTTATTTACTTAAGTTATTTCTTGTTTAAATATATATTTTGCACTTTTTATTGTCATTGTGTATTTACCATTTAATAACTTTTAACATTATATATCTGAAAACTAAATATATGACTTAAAATTCTTTTTTCGTATGAATAATTTGAAAACACTAACATTGCACTAAAAACTGGACCGCAAATCGAAATACCCAATGCTGTAGCGAAAAAAAAACAACCTCCCCTGCTTACTGCAAACAAATACCTCGTACGAATTTAAAGGGCCGTCATAAAACATTTTTTTTCTACTCCATTCCTTCCGCCTAAAAACCACGTGTATGTGAGTCATACTACTCTCATTTTAAGTAGAAGGTCAAATCTACATGTATCTGAAACCATATGGACATACAATGCCATCTTCTGGCAGAAATTGTATTTTTTAAAACGTTCCAAGACACTGGCACAAATTAGTGACGGCCGGGGATGAACGAGAAAATGCTCTGGCACACCGGTGTGTCGGCCGGGAAGTGAGTGCGTTTCTTGCTCGCACGTATCGGCAGTCGGCGCGAAAGGGTTAACGTTACCCAGTGGGCACTTGTGAACCTAAGTCACGGAGGCGAGCAACATTATCCACGCCACAAATACCCGTTTTATAGGGTGGGCCACAATTACACATCACACAATAGAGAACAACACACACAGGGAAACATCCATGCCTAGAGCGGAATTCGAACCCGCAGGCATTGACTTCGTAATCAGGCACGCTAACCACTCGGCCACCTGGCCGGCAAGATAGAGAACTATGGAGAAGAAATCATATTTTTACCCCGATAATCCTGAAAAATCTCAGCATTTACAAGCAAGCCATAAAAACACAAAATTGTCAGAAGACACGCCTAAATATATAAACCCATTAATATTTGAAATCGTGGTCTCTAAAAATTATTCAAAAATAGACAGGGGAAGTAATTTTTTCTTCTCTTTTTTTTTTTTTGAGTCATCCTAAATCGACAACACATTTTTTTTAATATATCATTAAGGTAAAGATAAGCCGTTGAATCACAAGTAGAAAAGATAAGCTCGTTGTGATATGACGACAATTGTTTTCATTCTCCTGTTACACATCGTTCCATTTTGTATAATTTCTTGCGAATCATGAGTACAGGGGAGTGGGAAGAATTTCCAACGTATTTGGAACTATTCACAGCTGTGCAAGAATATCTGAAGAAACGCTTCCAGGAAAATGTCGGCTTTAATTCCAAACCTGTTGCGCAACCTGTTTACAATTTCACTCCAGCGGATATTCTTTTCGTTATTGTTTCTGCTATAGGATGGACTTTTTTGAGGAAGGTAATTACAGAAAGTTTTTCGAAGGTATGTAATAGCTTTATATTAATGTTTTTGTTTCTAAAATAACTAAAGGCTAGTTTTGTTGTTTTAAAAATGTTAGTCATGTGATCATTGCATCGTTTATGGAATGAATTGATCACCTCAAATGAATAACAGAAAAAAAAGTTGTCGCCCCGATTATTTATTGTTGGCGGGCTCACTAATTCTAGTGTAAATTAATGATTGCATTTGGCCATGGAATTATGTATTACTAGTATTGTCCTTTTCTTTCATTCAGTTTAAATTATTAAATATTATTTGTTAAAAACCATGTATTCATTTATTCTTATTTGATTATTAAAGAATTTTTTTAAGCATTAAAAATTTATGTTTTGCAAATTAATTATTGCTTTCGAATAAAGCTGATAGGTTAAGTATACACGAGTGGAAAAATTTTACGTCCAATTAAAAAGGTTCTTTCTTTTTTCTTAGAAAAGATAATCACAATAAATACTAATTGTATAAGACAATGTCTCACAAATTACGTAAATTTTAACTTACGCATTCATTTCGGATAGAATAGTTTTTTGAACTTGACAATGCAAGAACAATCTATGCTTCACAAATTTTATTTCCTTTGTTAATGTTTTTTATTTGATACGTAATTAATGACATTGATGTGCTTAACGCATCAATTTAAGTTATTAAATATTTGTTATTCATTTATTCTTATTTGATTATGAATTTCTTAAAGTATTATAAAATCCTGTTTTGCAAAAAAATCATCGATGAATAGAGATTATAGATTTTTAAGTCTAAGCGAGTGGAAAAATTTTACGCCTTAAAGGTTCTTCTCACTGTTAAGTTTCCTTTTGTTTAGTCAAGATATTAAGAATATATTACAATAAGTTGTTAATTTTTAAAACCATGCGTTTTTAAATCAAGTTAATAGTTAGCTTACATATTTATTTTAGGTTGAAGATTGTTTCTTAAGCTTGAAAGTGAGGGAAAAATCTATGTTTCCAAAATGTTATTTCAACTGTCAATTTTTTTTTTTTTTTTTTTTTTATNTTTTTTTGTGTGGATCAAGACAACTATATGTTACTACTGTCTTTGATGTACTTAGCACATTTTCTATATAGATATAGTATTGACTTAGTTCATTAAATCTTTTACTGTCCTTCCGTTGAAATTAATTCAAATTATTGAAAATTGTTATTCAAAATTCCACTCTGACATAAAAATGACTTAAAACATAATTTTATTTATTTAAAATTATGTATTGAGTTTGAATTTAATTCAAAATCCTCAGTCAGCAAAAGGTTTGAGTCCTTCCTGTGTTAATTTTCTTTTTCATTTAGTCAAGACAATATTAACAGAGCACTATTATTTTGGATTATCAAATTTTCTAATTTGAATTATTGCATTTTGGAACTATTAAATTTACTAATTGAATGAATAAACTCTGAACCAACGATTCAGTTTTTTTTTAAATATTAGGCCTATGAACATTTAAAAAATTACCTTCCATAATGAGTGATTAAATCTTTTAATCATGTTTTTTAAATCACGAATTGAATTTGTATTGGGTTGAATATTTTATAATTCCACTTGAACAGAAAATGCTCTTTCCTCTAGAATGTCCTATGGTTAGTTTTCTTCGTTTTTTTAAAAAAAAAGACATTTTGATACACTATATGTTTATTTTCTTAAATCTAATTGAATATCTGAGACAATAAATAATTGACTTTAATCATTGACTAAATATTTATACTTTGGTTACATTTCAAATTATTTAGCATAATATACAGGGTGTACCGTAAAGATCGTTCTTAATGTGTATTTTCTTGAAACAATATCAAAACTAAAAAGAATTATTAACAATTCATTGTTCCTTTTCGGTGCTCCTAATAAATTTTGTGTGTGTAAATAAATAATTGAGTTTGATCCACGGTTAAACAATGCGCTATTTAGATCAATTCATAAAATTATTTAATCACCATTTTAAATTTTCTAATGGATTTCGCTCTTAAAAACTTTTAAATTCAAGCTTTTAAATGGTGAATTAAAATTAGAGTTCTGAGTTTTATGAATCTGTTCAAGTGGAAAAATTCCATGCCTCATGTATATGTTACGCNCATAGGTGCAACGCGATTAACCATGTCAGAAACAAGTGCGCGACTAACGGAAGGTTAAAGAATGCGCTATTTAGATCAATTCATAAAATTCATTTTAAATTTTCTAATGGATTTCGCTCTTAAAAACTTTTAAATTCAAGCTTTTAAATGGTGAATTAAAATTAGAGTTCTGAGTTTTATGAATCTGTTCAAGTGGAAAAATTCCATGCCTTATGTATATGTTACGCCATTTCCAAACTGTGGGATGAAAAATAAAACAAATCTTTAACAAATTAAAGAATACAATTGTGTGTTTTTATGAAACATTTTCACTAAGGATATATTAATACCGGTTTCCTTCGAAAAAATTGCCCGCCATTTTATTGGAAACTAGCCAATTTTAGATTTCCAATTGTCCTTTTGTTAGAACTGGTAATAATATTGAATCTTTGTACACGATGAATATAATAATAGGAGTTATATTTAAATTTCTAACACCTGTTTTTATTTCAATTCTTTAGTTAGCAAACTATTTTTATAATATCAATTTGCTCGTTATGAAAAGAATAAAAATGTTTTAATTTGTTAATCTTTTGTATGTTTCATCAGTTTAACAAGACACAAACCAACTTTTCTGAGAGAAAGAAAATATTTTTTTGTAAATATTACGTTTTCGTTAATATGCATTTAAAAAATCATCAAAGCACACAAGAACTAAAAATATGGCCATTGTATTTATATCACTTTGTTTTATAAAGTCTATGAATGTTAATCTATCTTTAATTTATGGAATATTTTGATGCAATTATTTTAAATGTGTTGACACTAAAAATACCCCTAAAAAAACCTATCCTAAATTTTGATTAATAATACAACCCAAAAGTTTAATTAAAAAAAAAGAGAGCGAAATAGAGAACACGCTCAGAATAACTTTCAATGTAATGATCGGATTCTCACGTGCTTGTATTCAGTCTTAACCGCACGAGCTCATAACTTTATGCTGAGCAATTAAAGCAAATTATAATTTCAGTTACAAAAAGAAAAAAGCAGCCGACTCAATTTTGGGTTTACGACTACTAATGTTCGACTTCACAGCTTTGTAATTTTGAACCCAATCCAGAAGACAAAGGAACTCCTTGATCAAGTATTGGGAGAGATTTGCCTTCGTGCAGGACTTTTTAAGATGGAACTAACCCGTATTTGCGTTACATGGAGAGGTATATCACGAAAACCTCCCACGGTTTGTCTGAAGGCAAGGAGATTCTAACCCATGATTCGTTTACCATTGTGGTCGATGCGAGCCAGGTGCGGAATTTGTATCAACCAAAAATCGCTGGAATTCCAACCCGGTTCACTTTATTTGAAGGCGAACGCTCTATTTCCTGCACCACCAAGGCTCAGGTAGCTGCAATTTTATTTTTTAACCGTTGTTCAACAGCCGACCGAACTTTCGGGTTTACGACTACTAATCAAAGCTGAACCCCGTCCCGCCCCCGTTAGGGGGCATCCGGAGAATACTGTAGACTCTAAGTGCACACACGTGACCTCTCTAAAAAAAAAAGAGGATTCAAAAAGGTAGGCTTGGGGGCGATTCATGGCAACACCAGAAGGCCTCAAAAAATTTTGTGAAATCTTAAAATTAACAATAGTAGTTACTCAGAAAATAGAATTTAGGAGTGTTCAAACATAATAGACGTTTACGACTACTAATGTTAAACTCCATAGCCTTGTAGTTTTGAACCCAATCTGGAAGACAAGGAAACTCCTGGATTAAGTATTGAGGGACATTTGCCTTCGTAGAAGCTTAAGTATGACAGCGATTGATAGATTGGACCTCCTTAATGAAATTTTCTATTTTTGCGTATTTCGGCACTTCAAAGAGGTGGTATTTTTAAATTTTTACCTCTCGAGTATTAATCGCCCCATTCATATTTTTTATTTATTTTTTTATTTAAAACTGCGTCGATTAAAATTATGTAATAGTTTGTCCAAATTAAAACTAAATTTTCTTAGTTTAATAATACTATAAAAATAAACGAGCAGTAAATGAGAATCGTAGTTAAAGAATTTTTTATAGAAGCAGACAAAAATATTTAATTTCGTCTCATTAGTTCCTCAAAATAGTGAAATTACGGTCACCATGGAACATCTAAATCCATGGAACAAGTACACTTTATCTATAAAGGACACACACACACATTCATAGATTGTGTAATCAGTATGAATTTATTTCATATTAATTTAAAAAGCCGTTTACAGACATGCTACATTGATTTAAAATATAAAAAAACTCCTGTTCGCTCCCCCCACCACCCCCGTGGTTGCTACTCATTCATCATTGGTTTTTTTCCTTATAAAATGATAAAAAGTTAATTTTATGTAAGCATATTTTGCCAATATGTAAAACGTGATGAAATAAAGAATACCTGGATTTGAAAAGTAAATAGCTGCAATTGAAAAACAACAACTTAGAAATACAGAATGTTCGACTCAATAAGAAGAGTAATAACTTAGAAATTATTTTATTTTGCTTGTTAACCATGTAAACGATAACCTTATATTATATAACAGTTCACATTGGAAATAGCTTTTATCTCTTTTCAGTCTTTATATTTTTAAAAATTTCGTTGTAAACATTTAGATTTACATCGGCGACATCTAATCGATCTATCTCTTTTTTTTTTATTCCTTTTTTGTTGTTACTTTTGACATCAGGTCATACACGAGTTCATGAAATGAATATCACGAGAGAGAGGAATTTTTTCTACAACAGGTTATGCACGAATTTATAAAATGAAAATCATAAAAGAGAGAAACTGTTTCTACAACAACGCATGACTAATTATTTGTAGAGAAAAAATGCGAGGAAAAAAAGCATTTAAATTGACTTCTGAAATTTATTAAGACTTCTGAATTTAATTGAACTTTCAATTGATTCTAAATAACGTCTAATTAATTTAATTCGAATTTAATTGAACCTTTCATTGGTTTTCTGAAGAAAAAAAACTCTCATTGATTTTGTAATTCAAAATTATCCTATTAACTAGTCAAATTGCAACTCTTTAATTGGGTATTTGCACTTCAGAAAGAAGAAGATCACGAATATCCACACATTTGATCTATGACGTCAACTCCAACTGATCGTTTTTTTTCTTCTCTTTAATAACAGTCGTTGAACAGCCGACCCAATTTTTGGGTTTACAACTACTAATGTTCAACTCCGTATCCTTGTAATTTTGAACCCAATCCAGAAGACTCCTGGATCAAGTATTGGGAGAAATTTGATTTTGTGGTGGACTTTTTGATGGAACTAACCCGCATTTGCGCTACATGGAGAGGAAGACCACGAGAACCTACGACGGTTAGCCTGATGGCAAGGGGACTCTAACTCATGATCCGTATACCACTGAGGATATTTCACATCAGCACTGTAGTCGTTGCGATCGGGGTGCGGAATTCATATCGACCTGCCATCGTTGGGATTCGAATCCGTTTCACCTTAATGGAAGGTGGACANGGGCCCTTAATCATTGGGGGCCCTAGGCCATGGCCTAGTCTGGCCTAATGGATAATCCGGCCCTGATTTATTTCATATTATTTTGAAAAGCCTTTTACAGACGTGATACATTGATTTAAAATATTAGAAAACTCCAGCTCCTGTTCGCTCCGCCCACCACCCCCGTGGTTGCTACTCATTCATCATTGTTTTTTTCCTTATGATAAGAAGTTCATTTTATGTAAGCACATTTTGTTAATATGCAAAACGTGATGAAATAAAGGATACCAGGATTTGAAAAGTAAATAACTGCAATTGAACGAAAAATAAACTTAGGAATACAGAATGTTCGACACAATAAGAAGAAATGAATGAGAAATTATTTTACTTTGCTTATTAACAATATAAACGATAACCTTATATTATATAACAGTTCACATTGGAAATAACTTTTATCTCTTTTTAGTCTTTGTATTTTTTTAAATTTCGATGTAAACATTTAGATTTACATCGGCGACATCTAATCGATCTATCTCTTTTTTTCATTCATTTTTTTTTTGTTGTTACTTTTGACATCAGGTCATACACGAGTTCATAAAATGAAAATCACGAGAGAGAGGAATTTTCTACAACAGGTCATGCACGAATTTATAAAATGAAAATCGTAAAAGAGAGAAATTTTTTCTACAATAACGCATGACTAATTATTATTTAAAGAGAAAAAATGCAAAAAAAGCATTTAAATTGACTTTGAAAATTTATTAAGACTTCTGAATTTAATTGAACTTGTAAGATTCTAAATAACATCTAATATTAATTTAATTTGAATTTAATTGAACAGTTCATTGGTTTTCTGAAGAAAAAAAAACTCTCGTTGATTTTGTAATTCAAAATGATCCTGTTAACTACTCAAATTGAAACTCTTTAATTGGGTATTTTCACTTCAGAAAGAAGATCATGAATATCCACACATTTGATATATAACGTCAGCTCCAACTGGTCTTTTTTTTTTTTTTTTTTTAAAGTTTTTTTTATAACCGTCGTTGAACAGCCGACCCAATTTTTGGATTTACAACTACTAATGTTCAACTCCGTAGCCTTGTAATTTTGAACCCAATCCAGAAGACAAGGAAACTCCTGGATCAAGTATTGGGAGAATTTGCCTTCGTGCAGGACTTTTGAAGATGGAACTAACCCGCATTTTGCGTTGCATGGAGAGGAAGAACACGAGAACCTTCCACGGTTAGCCAGACGGCAAGGGCACTCTAACTCATGATCCGTCTACCACTGAGGATATTTCACGTCAGCACTGTAGTCATTGCGATCTGGGTGCGGAATTCGTATCGACCTGCCATCGTTGGGATTCGAATCCGTTTCACCTTAATGGAAGGTGGACATTCTATCCCCTTAGCTACCACGGCTCGCCATTTATAATAATTAGAAAACAAAGGAGAGCAATGCCTACAACCGAAATAGATAATCGTATACATTTAATCTAGGCAACACAGAATTTTTTTACCCGCAACATATTATAATTGTATCATCATTGATTTTAGCGACACATGTGCTATTATATGGAGTGACAAGGATAAAATTAAAAAAAAAAACCGCCCAACTGATCGCTTATAAAGAACATGGCGTGTTAAAGTTGAGCTACGCTTGTCCATATAAATTAGAGTGTTAAATAACTGAAGTTAATTAAATACAGCTCTATATCGGACATCGAATTTATTGAAATATAATTATTTCTCGTCTACGTCTTTTACTTAAATTAGATTTATTATTTGTTAATGTATTTTAATTTTGTTAGGTACCGTGATATATATATTTGTTTTGTGTACCGTGGCAACTTCGATACATAATTAGTTTGTTCATGTTCTACATGACTTCCTGCCTGTCTTTGTGTTAAGAAATATATGATTCAAGAATTGAAATCTTTGTGAAAGAATCTTTGTGTAAGAATATAGAATGTGTCACTTAAGAGAATTGTAATTTGACGCGCTTGCCTTACTCGCAATAGAATGGAAAGAGCAGCTGCCAACATACACAAATGCCGCGCATCAACAACCAATCAGGATCGAGATACCCACACTACGCCACTTACAGGTATCCCATTGCATTTCAGCGCAGGCAGTATGTCGACCAGCATGGTATTTTTTTTTACTACAACTTTAATACTTTATTTTGCAGGCAACTTTAATTCTCGAGCTAATAATTGAAACAAACAATTTTTATTCGATCAAACATTTTGTCCATTTTTCTACGTGCTGTGGTAAATTCAAGTTTTTAAGTGTTATGGTGTTTGTGTGCAAAATAAAACTTAACGTAAAGCAATAAAAAAAAAAAAAAAAAAAAAAAAAAAAAAAAAAAAAAAAAAAAAAAAAAATGCCAGAAAAAATTCCCTAAAAAGAATTTAAAGTAGCAATATTTTTTAAGAATTTAAAATTTGGAATAAAATTCTGTTAAGTTTGTATACAAATATGGCCTTTTCAGCATACCGTATTTCAACTCTGTAATTGCATTTCTACATTTCTTCTGTAGAGCGGTCCGCATAGTACTCTTTTCCAACAAGTTTAACAGCTAATAATTATCTAACTATTGATTTAACGTTAAAATTTTTAGTTTAATCGTAACTCCTTTGTATTTTTCTACACACCTTAGTATTTTCAAGTTTCTAATTTAATAGATTCTGCGCAGAAGTCCATTTGTTGAAGTTCAATTGTACAACCAAAGTGGCCCTTGCGATTTTTAATATAAAAAGAATATAGTTTAGATACTATGAGTTTTTTTATTAATTATTACGAATACATTTCATACTATTATTTCGAAAGCCGTGTAGTATTCATGTTACTCTAAAATAAAATAATAGTTTTCGATACTATTAATTTAATAATTATTATGAATACATTTCATAACATAATTTTGAAAGGCGTGTTATTACATTCATGTTACTTCGATTTAAAATAAAATGATAACTCAGTTGATCTTTTTTTTTATTTCAAACATTTATTTTTTAGTAATTGTTTCCCTTTTAAATGAAAAAAAGTATTTCATAGTTAAATATTTACACAGATCTGTAAATGAAAGTTTTTGATTTTAAGAAGAAATGAAAGAAGATTCATTAAAATAGCTGAAAGCAAACAATTCAAAAATAGACATTTAGTACTGAATTCTAGATTTCTGCATAATAATTTATAACTATGTTTTATCGAAGTTTTTGTTCAAATCTATGTTTTATTGAAGTTTTGTTTAAATTCTTTTATTTTAGCCGCTTGGACGACATTATGTTCTTACTCCGTCCAATCAATCAAAAATGCCAGAAAGTGTCTGGAAATTTCTTTATTACTTGACAGCTTGGAGTGTCAACTGCTACATTCTTATATTAAGCGGTGATCATGAATTTTTCCAAAAACCAAGTTCAGTCTGGACTGGTAAGATAAAGCATTTTTTTACAAATTTTATTGAATTTCTACACTATAGTCATAAACTTACTATAATGCATTTTTAAATATTTAAGTTTTGGACTTATAATTATTATATTTTAAACATTTACTTCCCTTTATAGATAGAAATTAAATGCCGTTTATACTAATACTGCCTAAACTGCATTGCTCTCTCCTTTCCTTTCTCTTTTTTTCACACTGCGATCTGAATAATAAAAAAAAAAAAAACGCTGGAAAAATTTAAATTAAAGGTTATTAAAGAGAATTTTTCTTGAGTTTAACTGCTCTTTGATGTCCATGACATAATATAACCAGAAAAGAAAAATTGCTTTGATTTCTTTCTACGTTAACACTTTGACGCATAATTTTTATTAAACATATTTTTTTATATTTTTATGTGTATTAATTTAGATCGAAATAAGTAAAAAGCAGTATTTTAATAATTTATGGTTATGAAATTCTATGTTAAAGGTTAAATCTTTCAGACACGGCTTACTTAACAATATTTTTTTCAAATTTACACTCACTTGCAGTTGTTTAAATCTTAAGGAAACCGTTATTCCTCCTTGAAAGTTTTCTAATTTGCAAAAGTTTTTAACGTAATAATTTAAAAAAAAATTCAAATTACTTTTTTTGGATTTTATAGTGTCAGGTGGGGTAAAATGGGCATATGTTAAAAAACATCTATTTTCTCGTTTTAAGTTGAGATAAATTATTCAATACATTTTGAGACATTTACTAAGGTTGGGGCAAAAATTTTTATTTTAGTTTTATAAACTGATAAAAAATTTATTTTTTATAAACTATCTGTTTATTATCAACTGATAAATTATATTAGTTTAAGCTGTTAATGAACTTTCTTCTAATATTATTAAGAACTATTAAAAAAACTATTAATTTTAGTTCAAACTGGTAAAGGAACTTCTAAAGAACATATTTTTCTATTGAGATCTGTTCTACAAATTTAAGTACAAATGTCAAAATTCTATTTATTATGAATTGTTTTCTGAGGTGGGTTAAAGTTGATATATGGTTAGGCTTAGCTAAGTGTTGTATGACAGGGATTTCTTTTTTACTTCTGTGTTAGCTTTAATAAGTATCTAATGCTCTATATTTTATAATGAAATAGCTAAAAAATAATTTACTTGTTTGATTACAGTAATTTTAACGCTGAAAAAACAAAATTTATTTAAAATTTTATCTTTTCAAGAGAAGAATGATAGATCGAACAACAATGCTACAGACATATTATACAATGTAAAAAATTACCAAAATAGCATAATGGTACAATTTAGTGAGCATATTTGAAGATATAGATGGCCCAAGTTTTTGCCTTCACTCAAGTTTTTGTCTAAATATGGCAGTTTGATCATAGAAAACAAAACGATTTCCTTAAACTAGTTAAATTTAATAAAATTTCTACTGGTAAGTAGTAAAAACACTCAAATTACTACGATAGATATAACTTTTTACACTCTCATTTATAGTTCAATTAAACCTAAACCTAATACACTTTTCTTGCTTTTTTAATGAAATTGAGTAGGGTTTTGCAATTTACTGCATCTGAAGTGAAAACTAATTATTTTTTAACATTTAGTCAATGAAATATAATCAAGATAAAATATTAATATTAATAATATCAAGATAAAATATGATACTTAAAATATTTTTTATTTCTAAAAATATATTTAACATGGGTGATTTTGAAACTATATCCACTTTACTCCACAGTTGGGTAAAGTGAGTATATCAAAACAAGTTCTTCTGAATGGCTTACTGTAAATAAACAAAATTGAGAAGTAATGCCTCATATTTTATCTATATGAATCCAGTGTACATGAAATGCATCAAAATTATCGCTAAAATAAATTTAATGGTATGGTTTTAGAACCTTCTTTGAAAAAAGCTTGATTTATTTATACCCACTTTACCACACCTGACCCTATTTTAGTACAAATATAATTACGATCACCTGACTGATTTTTTTAGCAACAATTAGACGATTATTTTACAATTAAAAACTATTAAAATATATTTTTACTTGCAATTAGAGTGTCAGAAAAAAATATATATAAAGGACCGCTATCCCATCAGCATCAAAGGGTTGAAAACAGACTGATCTTAAACTTTTTTTTACCATCGCAAACTAAGAGGAAAAACAACAACAAAACTAATCTTGTTAAAATATTGTTTTTAGCAAATGTAAATAAATAGGTATAATAAATTGTATTTTTCTTGCACATGTTGACTTTAAGACTATGCATTTCAATTTCTGTTTTTTTAGAAACATTGTGGAATTTAAAAATGTTTGTTATTTATGACTGTTTTAAAGCTGCATTGCAGTTTTAAAATGCTGCTACTACGACCAAATTTCCCAGATTGCGAGAACAGCCAATATCTTTAGGGTTCGGAAATCATAATTAGCCGGAAAAAAAGACCGCCGTTTTTAAGTCTGATTTCATTACTTTAAATATCGTCTACGCTACCTAATCAATATATTTGAAGTCACCTTCTAGAACAGGGGTTTCCAACTGGCGGCCCGGGGGCCGCATCCGGCCCGCGAAGCCTTTTTTTGTGGCCTGCGAACTAAAATATATTAGTTGTCATTTTTTTTGCGGACAATTTTTGTAAAAACTCTATATGGGTTTAAAATACTTTTCTCTTTAATAGAAACCTAATTTCTTCCTTTCTGTTAAATTTAACATACCAATGGTGCAAAAAAATTTATTTCTCGGATTTCGCATCTAAGAAAAAATTTATTCAAATACAAAAATAATCGTGTATGTTGCTCTTTTTTATTTCATTTTTTTGTATTTTGTGAATATAATTCAGCTTGTGTGTATCAGAAATTTTCTCGAAGAAATTCTCCGATTTAACTTTTTGAAACCACTCATTTTGGACGAAAATATTTACACACACATTTGTAAATTTTAAATGCAAATATCTATTCTCTGGTGGTTGCAGCAGACAAACCACAATTTTCTCATTGAACATTTTGTGTGATGCTATGTAAGTTTTAATACCAACCTTTATAAAGTTTTATATCTTAACAATTAGATATCTGTTGCACATTAATTGTTGAATATGTAGGTGCACATTAAGTTATTGTAGCCCGAATTTTTATTATTTATTTAATATTTTTTAGAAACATTAGCGGTAACAATTAAGTATTTTTAAAAATCCTCTTCTTATTTCAATTTGCGATTCAATACTTTTGTTTTGCCCAACTTGGCAAAAATTTGACAGTAATATTCAATGTTCCTTCAAACATAAAAGAATCCTACATAAAATTTTGATAAAGTTGCGGCCCGCCATTTGATTTGTGCTGTTAATTGTGGCCCCCGGCCTCATGTAAGTTGATAACCCCTGTTCTAGAACCATTAACATTGAGTCCTAGGACGTGAAAATCCGATCATTACTTCAAAGGTTATTCAGGGTGTTTATATTTTTTTTGCACTCTATATATCTTATGCTGATCGAATGTTTCAATTTATAACTTAATTAAAAAACTATTTCCAGATCAAAAAATTCGAAAGTTTTTAAATCTGCAATCAGAATACTTCTAAACAATCGAAATAATTTTGATTCTCGTTCTATAGTATCCAGCAAAAATCATATTGTGATAGAAATCAGTTTCGGAAAATCATACTTTTTTTCAAGATATTACAGAAATCGGGTCTCCATAGTCAAAGTTACTTAACATTTTTTCCGAAGCTCTTTCGTTAAATAAAACAACAAAAAAAAGTCACTATACCTTACACTTAGAGCCAAATAATGGTTTTAAACTATCTATTTCATCTTGCTGTGAAGAACTATCAGGGCCTTTAACGGTCGTATAACTTAAATATTTTAAAAGTTATAAATCTTTTTTTTCTGAATCGCCAATTTGGCAACATTTTTCCCTTTAAAAGAAAATTATCAAAATCACAGCATTATTCTCCTTTTTTGCAAATTTTTATGATCCCAGATAATGCAGCATTAGGGAAAGCTTGTAAATATTAAAAATAATAGGCCACAAACTATTTTTTTTTCCGCACGAAAGTGTGGCTTTTCTACACATAGACGTTGGCGCCATTTTAAGAATAAGCATTGACATCGCTAGTGTTAGATAGGCTAAACTTGTCCCAACAGTCATGACTAGGACTGGGCGATATTAGAAATTATATNCGATATATCGATTTATAGCCCAGTCCTAGTCATGACTCATGAATAACTAACTGCATGTTACTCGCAAAAAAGCATTATTTCATATGACGTCGAAGCCTTCGAAAAACAACCTTGACGGAGAAGAAAGAGAAAGAAAATCAATTTTTAACGAAACGAAAGTACCATTACTTGGTTGTTAGGCATATAATACGCGATAAGTAAATGTTTTTCTGCACGCTATTTTGAAATACATACAGTATTTTCTCTAAAATAATATTTAATTTCTATTCCCAATTGTTTTCACAATTCAAACTTAAGAATGTTCAATTTATTTCAGTAGAAACTCGTTTTTCAATAGCAATAAAAACCCGAAATGAAAACTGAAATTACTTAGATCAGGGGTTGCCAAACTTTTTTGATCATCGACCCCTACATAATTTTTCGAAATCTCCATCGACCCCCATAAAAGTAATTTTCTGCTAATTAAAATAAAACTCTATTAGATACCGTGTTTGTACATTTATTTTATGATTTTGAACATTTATTAAAGTAATAGTACATAATGTAACAATAGTTTTATGAAAAATATATTAATGTTGAAATATAAATGCCTTAATATTTATGAAATAATAAATAATTATAAGTAAGTAGAAATAATAAGTAAAGTAACTACGGATTTATTGCTTCTTAATCAATGCCTGGTGTTTTTTTTTTTATTATTATTATTATTTCTTTTTTGCAAGGTTCGTTATATTGGGTTCAAAATTGGTCAATTTTAA